AAATAAATAAAATGAAGTTTTATTTTAAAAAACTAAAAGGTTTATTGAGGTTAAGGTTAGGATTAGATTTAGTTGTAGCATAACATTAATTATCTGCATTAATATTTATTTATCAGTGGAATGTGTGTGTGTGTGTGTGTGTGTGTGTGTGCGTGTGTGTGTGTGTGTCTGTGCGTGTTGTCAGGTGACCTACAGCTGGAGCATATTGTGAGGTATAATCAGAGTGTACAGTTCACATGCTCACTCAGCATCTTCTGCTCTGTTATCTGCTGCTTAATGCTGACTCAGCAGCACACACACCAACACCCACCATAGAATGATACACAGAGACAGAGAGAGAGAGAGAGAGAGAGAGAGAGAGAGAGAGAGAGAGAGAGTTATGCTAGTGTTGCATTTTGGTTTTATGATGTAAAAATGTTTTGTTCTTGTTGTTTTTTAACAATTATCTCTGATTTTGCAAGGCTGAAGGCAATTTCCGTGTGTGTGTGTGTGTGTGTGTGTGCGCATAATTATAAGATAATTAAAATGTTTTGTTCATCGTGGTCGCTTAGCCCCAATATGACAAAATATTAATTTTTTCCAAATCGAGAGACAGATTCTCAAAGATGTGACTGAATGTTTTATTAAAGCCGTCGCTCAAGAACATATTTTAAAAATTTTGATGTATCATTGTGTTTCTACTCCTCAGCACAGAGAGGTGTGAGAGTATATAGAACATTGTGAAATAGGTTTTATAAGGAATCTGAATCTGATGATGTAATGTTTTATAATGGTTTATGATGTAATTCTTTATATGGGGACAAAAACTTTAATCACATTTCTAAACTAATGATCCTTGTACTATGCAACCATGTTGAAGTGTAACCTTGGAATTAAGCATAAATAATGGTTTAGGACAGGCCTGTATTGTTTTAGTAGGAACATTATTTATGCAGAAAGGTATTGTTTATAGGCTACAGTATTGGGAAATGTTTTAATTTACCTAGGACATATCCATTATTTTGTGATATTAGGACATTTTGTTTGGGTATTATCGCTTACTTATAGCTTGTTTTGAATTGCATCACCACCTCACAGCTCCAGGGTCCCTGGTTTGATCCTGAGCTCAGGTTATTATCTGTATGGAATTTCTGTGCAAGTTGCCTCCTGGTCCTCCAGTTTCCTCCCAGCTAAAAAAAAAAAAAAAGCCAGTAGGTGGATTGGCTAAGATAAAGTGCATGTATGTGTGAATGAGTGTGTGCATGGTGCCCTGTGAGTGATTAGCGTGCCACCAAGGTATCCACCAAGCATGCTCTAGTGGTCCAAGGACCCTGACCAGATAAAAGTGGTTGTATAAAAAGTGAGTATATCTTGTTTTTTTTTTTTTTACTCTGAATGATAATGAAGGCCTTTTTTTCTTATATACATAATTAGTAATGCTGATACACTGTATAACATAATTATAATTATAACCCATAAATCAGGTGTTTGAGGAAAAGTAATTAAAGTAGTTCTTGCAGTAATTTCACTGTCTTATGCTCTGATCAAGTCGTTGATAGCAAAACGGATATACGCCTAATCAATTCAGTTTTAAAATGAGACGTCATAAAGTTAAAAACCAACCATGGTTAAATGACGGACTCGGAATATGAGGCGGGTTTGTCGGCAAGCAGCGCGTAAGTGACTTAAAGATAAATTGCAAGTATCTTATGATATTTTTAGAGAGTCTCTATCAAATTATCAAAATGCTGTTAAAGCCGCTAGATCTTCGTATTATTCACGAATTATATCGCACAATTCAAATAACCCGAAGGTACTGTATTCAATCATAGATAAAGTATCGAGTCCGTCTATTAATTTTTTCCCTACTCCATTTAAGGATTTGTATGAGAGTTTTTTAAAGTTTTTTGTTGATAAGGTTAATCGTATTCGGTCGGATATTGTGCCTGTAGGGAATGTTGTAGCTAACAAAATAAATCCGTCTCATTGTTTGAGTGAATTTGAATCGATTGCGTTAGCTCAGTTGGAAAATATTATATTGCATTTAAAGTCGACTACCTCTCTGTATGACATTCTTCCATCTCGACTGTTTAAGGAGGTGGTAGACACTATTGGTCCCAGTATATTATCGATTATTAACAGTAGTGTATTTCATGGCACTGTACCGTTAGAGTTTAAGCATGCAGTTATTGAACCAGTCTTAAAGAAAATAAACTTAGATTCACAGGATTTTAAACATTTTAGGCCTCTTTCCAGATTGCCTTTTATGAATAAGATTTTAGAGAAAGTTGTCCATAATCAACTTGTTGACTTTTTGATTGGAAACAACACAATGGATATTTTTCAGTCTGGATTTAGGACCAGGACCATTATTAAAGGTTACACACAATATTTTGTTAAGTATTGACTCCAATAAAAGTGTTGCCTTAATGATGTTAGATTTAAGTGCAGCCTTCGATACTTTAGATCATGTGATTTTAATTGGAACGCTTTAGAGATTATGCTGGGATTAAGAGTGTAGCCCTTAAGTGGTTTTCCTCCTATCTGCAGGACAGGACATGCTCAGTTAAAATTGGAAATTATGTTTCGTCATCTGCGACTATCACTTGGGGGGTTCCTCAGGGATCAATTCTCGGTCCGACTTTATTTTCATTATATATATTACCCTTGGGGTAAATTTTTAGGCAATACAGTATTAATTATCACTTGTATGATGATGATCTACAACTGTAGATCTGAGTGTGATGGCTGTACATCTTTTGCTAATTTTTGTAAGTGTTTGACTGAGGTAAAGGGATGGCTAGCAAATAATTTTTTACAACTAAATGAGGATAAGACTGAGTTTATTATGTTTGGGAACAAACTACCTGGAAATGACCTGATTGAAAGTTATGGACTGTTGTTCGATAATAGTTATGTGAAGAATCTTGGAGTAATGTTCGATTCTGACATCCGCTTTGATTGTCAAGTTAACAGCGTTGTGAAAACATCTTTTTTCAGATGTTTCAGAAAATTGTCTAAACTGAAACCTATCCTTTCAAACAAGGACTTGGAGACTGTTCTGCATGCCTTTATTTCCACACGGTTGGATTATTGTAATGCTCTTTATCTAGGCATAAGTGAATCCCTGGTTGCTCGTCTTCAGTACGTCCAAAATGCTGCTGCAAGAATTCTGACAAGCACCAGAAAACGAGATCATATAACGCCTGTATTGACATCTCTTCATTGGTTACCTGTAAAATACAGGATACAATACAAGGTGTTAATGTATGTCTATAAAGCACAATTGGGCTCCTGAGTATATAAAGGACATGTTAATCTCTTACCAGTCTCAACGTCATCTGCGTTCCTCTCAAACTATGCTCCTAACTGTCCCCCGGTCTCGGTTGAGGCGTAGTGGAGACCGCGCTTTTTCTGTTGCGGCTCCTGCACTCTGGAATGTGTTACCGTTATCTATAAAATCCTCGTCAAGCGTGGACATTTTTAAAAAGGACTTGAAGACCTATTTATTTTATCAAGCTTTCAGCGTTTGATTAGGTCGGAGGATTGTGAAGGATTGACTGTGTGCTTTTCTTGATGTTATGTCTTGCTGTTATTTTATGTTTCCATGAATTTTAGTATTTTTATTATCTTTGGTCCAGTTTAATGGTTTTGAAAGTGCTTTATAAATAAAAGTTGAGTTGAGTTGAGTTTGTAAAGATTATAAGTATCAGCTGACAAATTATCCACAGTGCAAACATGGGTACACTATAGAGATGACAGTGGACAACTTGTATTATTTGAATTCTAATATTTTTTTTTTTTTTTAATTGAAAGTTAGCCAACAGAAGAAAACTCACTGAATTAATCAGTCATTATTTCAGCACTGTAAAAGACAGACAATGATCAGTCAAGTAAAGAGCTATGATGCAGCTCTGGTTGGTCAAACGCCATGACTGCATTTATCTCAGGAAATGAGATTCGAGAAATTGACATGGAAGACACTTATGATCAAAGTGATCACTCATTAATCTATGATAAAGTGAATGGTCAAGTTATTTTTTTTAAATATTTTATTCATTACATGTTAAATTAAATGCAAATGAAATCATTTTACACAGTAAGATGACTGATGATGGCGAGTCACCCGGGATGTATTACACACATGGTGCTTCAACCTTATACTGAGGTTCTCTTGGCTATGTGTGTGTGTGTGTGCCCTTGCAGTACGCTCTGAAGAAAATATAGCCTTCATATCCCTGTTCTCTGCGTCTTGTTTTACACACCACACTGGTTTTATATTCACCACATGGTGTGAGATTTCAGACAAAGCACATAGACTCGGGCACTCGCAGAGAATTCAGAGTACACTTCATATACATATTCAAATAACACCGAGTGAGTAAATAACACAGTGTAAACACAGTGTAAAATCATCCATAAATCTTGATTACTAACAAGGCAGTTACTTTTACTCACCCAAGAACAAAAAGTCATTATTTATTGTGTCAGACAATTATGTCCTCCACTCAAGTAATCCCATCGATTTAAAAATTCAGTCTTCAGCAATGATCCAAAAGTAGAACTAGTAGACTTCCCTAACACAGGAGAGTCCAAAAGTACCAAGAAACGAATCAGAATGAATCAGAGATTGTTTCCACACCTATGTTAATGTGAAGAGAGATCAGTTGAGTGAAGAGACGCTGATGAGGAGCATGCCTGAATGCAGCGAGTGACTTTTACCTCAGGTGATATGGCAGAGCCTGGTGTAGATGATGCTGCTAATTAAAGGGAGACCACATTTCCTATTATAAACTTATAATTGTTTACTTTTTTGGCAGAGCAAGCAAATTAAATTTGCAGAATAGAAAAGGTCATTTTGGCAGAATTGGGATGAATCTTTAGATGCAATTTTTTCCCTTTTCACTTTTGGGAGTAACCAGAAGTTAAAATGCTAGGACTTTATTCACAGATACATGCAAAAGACTTTTGCGTTCTGGAACGTCTGTAGTTTTCAAAACTATATATAGTAGAAAATGGGTTCCCTGGTGGACTAGTGGCTAGCACGCGGTGCTCTCATAACCGCAGTCCAGGTTCGATTCTCGGTCAGGGAACCAACTCCAGCCACTGGAGGGTTGCACAAGCCAGTGCAATCTCAGTGCTGGTCCCAAGCCCGGGAAATGGGGAGGGTTGCATCAGGAAGAGCATCCGGCGTGAAACTTGTGCCAGAATCAAAATATGTGAACGTGTGATCCACTGTGGTGTCCCCAAATGGGAATAGCTGAAAGAAAGGGGGGGGGGGGGTATAGTAGAAAATGGCATCCCATCAATGGTGTATTCCTGCCTCACACCCAGTGTAGGCTCCAGATCCACTACAACCAGTAAAAAGTGTGTGAGATATGGTAGAAAATGTCAAAATTTCACCATGTGAAGGGTTTTCCCAGGCCGCCATGGTAACGTGAGTATGCTTCTTACACAAAAGTCCATATAAAGAATAAAGAATTCTAATAAAAAAAAGGAGTGATGTCACCACAGAAGGAATGAACATACCAATATTTTTAGTGGAGATTGAGGTTTTCCCAACTCAGCATTTTGTCACTCAGCCCAGTTATGTCATTTCCCCATTTTACAAGCACTTCTGCGAACTTTAGCCATGTTGTCATGGTGACTGGAGCCCCACTCCAGCAGTAATTGGGACTCTCTGAGTACTGAGTGGGTAACCTGTTAGCCCTCGGGATCAGACACCCCAATAGCACATTAAGTTCCTCTCAACCAGCATGATTAGGGCACTTGACCTCCTTACTGCAGAGAAAGACAGATTGACTGAGAGAGACATAGAGGCAGGAAGAAAAGGAGCTCTCCCATTTCCGAAAAAAAAAAAAACCTTAATAAACGACAAAAAGCACAATAACAATAAGCTAAACAATTATGTGAGATATGAGTACTTTATTATTATTATTATTATTATTATTATTATTAAATGAAGAAAAAAAGTGAAATAAAGAATTGCCTTTAAAACTTACATTGGATTTTTTGATTACTGACTTTTTCATTACTTTTTATTACTTTTTTATTACCTTTTTTGTTAAAGATAAAATTAAAAATACCAGCAAAACATATAGATTTTGAAAAATGTGTTTAACTGTCATTTTATTTTTGAAGTTTTCGGAGACTTTTATTTAACATTTTTTAAAGGAGTCTCCAGTGTCAGCGCTTTATAACAGCCAGAGATGAAGCTGTAACTTTAAGTTTTCTGACCAAAGAAAGTCCCCAGGACAGAGGGCTTTGAGTTTTTTTGTCTTATTAAATACAAGAGAGAGAAGAAAAACATACAACATTAAACATCAATATAAAAAGAATGACATGTTGTTGTTTAATGAGAGCATGAGTGACTCCCACTATCTATAAACATATAGAAAAAAAATGTCCTCAATTTCTACGTGCAATGAGCCCCAAAGAAACACTGCATTTGAAGTCATTACAGATGCGAGAGTTCAACCATGCAAAGAGTGCCCTTAGTCTGCTGGTTCTCAGTCTCACGAACCCTGTAACACACACTAACACTGAACATGGCCAGACCATCATCAATATAAACACCAAACAGCTCAAAGTAAAGTAAAAGCCAAAAGTCAGTGGAGTGTTATCAGGCTTTAAACAGGGACTATGCATTGGCTGAGTATCTCCTCACTGTCAGAGGTACAAAGCAGAGACAGATAATGAGCAGGTACAGGCTCAGTGCCCATAGCCTCGCCTTTGAAAAGGGCAGGCAGAGAAACAGCCGGCTGTCCAGAGAGGAGAGACCGTGTGTTCACTGCACAACAGGTAATGTTGAGACAGAAATTCATTTCCTTCTCTATTGTGAAACATGTAAAAACCCATGCCAAATTTTCACTGCACACATTCCACATAGAAGCCTACAAAGCATTTCTTGCTGCTAGATACAAATTCACATGTTATGGCCTGCATCTCTTATATTCTGTACTCTCTCTGTATGTTGTATATGTTGCGTACATTTCAATTTTTCCAGAGATCCAGTCTATTGTCTATGATATCATCACTGCATGGCTATTTGAGTCGTCAACAATTTGACCTTGTTGGCTTAATGCTCATTAGTTCATTTCTGATTGGTCTGTTTGTTTGGGAACCCTGCTCTTCCTCTTTGACTTTGTTAGATAGCTTCTTATAGTGTTGTTGATTATGTATATACAGTATATGTTGATTTGGTCTGGGTCACACCTGAAGAAATAAAAACCCAGGTGTAGTTGTTGCCATCTACTGATGTACAATATATTCCCATTTACATGTGTGTGATGTTTTGTATAGTATCCCTCATATAATCTCACCCATCCATAAAATCTTCTCTTTATTTATCCATTCTGCTTCAGCCTGTAACAGATCATCATCAGTGTTTTCAACTCTTTTCAAGGGAAAATAGCTAAGGAATGCCATAAAGTCACCAGACGTTGCCAGATGACATCATAGACTAATTTGCATATTAATATGTGTTACATGAGGAAGGAGGATTTTCTGAAGACACTTAGAATAGAATAGATTAGAATTATTTGGAAATGAAAATCGAATTGGTGTTTGTGATTAGTCATTAGGAACAATGGTGATCAGTGATCAGTTATTGGTTGTTAGGAAACAATGGTGTTCAGTGATTAGTAAACAATGGTGATCAGTGATTGGTTGTTAGGAAACAATGGTGATCAGTGATTGGTTTTTGGAAACAATGGTGATCAGTGATTGGTTTTTGGAAACAATGGTGATCAGTGATTGGTTTTTGGAAACAATGGTGATCAGTGATTGGTTTTTGGAAACAATGGTGATCAGTGATTGGTTGTTAGGAAACAATGGTGATCAGTGATTG